TCATTACGGGTGTGAGCTGCTGACTTGGGAGGTTCCAGGGGTCACCGCAGCACCATAGTCTATGCTGGTGTGGTCTCAGAGGCTCCTTTGGTCTGTGGCTCTAACCACAGCCTATAGTTAGTAGACTGCACTGCATCTGACATTTAGTGTTTTGCTCTGAGAGACCCTCAGAGAGAGGTGGCTATCAAGGAGTCCTCCACCCAAGAACCAGGCGCCTGTGGATGCTGCAGCAACTAAGTTACAATTAAGTTACTGAGCATCCCAGGCTGATGGCACATCATATATTTAGAGGGGTTTAAGAGTTACATAAGAGGCTGCCTAGCAACAGCATTTCTTTGGTTCTCAAATTGGAGGGCTTAGCTCACCCTGGGGACGGCCCCATGTCTATTCTCGAATTTCCCTGAAAAACCATAAAGCCACCCTGCAGCGAGTTGACAGTTTAGATAGGATATTTTGGGGGGTGGAGTTTTCCCTCTCCTTAGTCCCGAAAAACCACAAAGCTAGATATAGCACTCTGCAGCAAGATGAAAATTTAGATAGAATGCCTTGCGGGGTGGGGTATTCTCTTTTCTTAGCCTAGTCAGTGAGTCTGCAACCCATAGTATCCAGTTTTAGCATCGGCTGAGCCTGGGGGCCCAGCTAAATTTTCAGCAGAGTTTAACATAGTATGTGGGCACGGGGGTCTTTCAAGTATGGGGGTCTTTCAAGTATGGGGGTCTTTCAGCTCCTGCAGGCTCTCAGGGGCCAAGGGGTGGCCAAGGATTCGACTCCATATAGTCACTTAGTGAACATCCGGTCCTACCTGCACTCACATCTGAAGCCAGTGGACTCAATTCCTGGTTGGAGGATGTCCTCCTATGGTTGTGAGGGTGGGAACCTTTTAAATATTTCTACCCTGTACAACCTTGCTTCCACAGGAAAGGTGAGGTCTCATGCATTTATGCCGGAACTACATACTCCAGGCTGGAAAAAGGAATAGATATGTTACCTGTGTTTTAGCAGACAGCTTTTTACCAGGAGATAAACAATGGTAGTCTTGGTTGGAATTAGGCAGCCTGCTAGCTGTTGTTAATCACACAATGCCTTCGTAGGCTGTTTGTTGATCTCCTTTTCCCTGTTTCAGAGTCAGGGGCAGGAGATTAGGAGGACCCTTAGAGATACCCATGCTTGGGGCTGATGCAGTGACCCTAAACCCTAGGTTCAACAGCTTATGTTCAAATATGTGTAATATGAGTAATGTTCCAAAACAGTTATTTCTATATATTTGTAAAGTTGAAACATAAAGAAGAGGAGTCAGGCTTGTCACAGCAGAAACCCAGGCAGACCACAGTCACAGGACAAAGGAATCTTAAGGGCAGGGAATGCCCTATCACAGTTACAGGAAGCCGACTTCAAGACCCATTAGAAAGAGCGGGCATTAGAGAGGAGTGTGACTTCTCTAGCTGGACAGCCACACAGCTAAGGAGCCCCCCCAGCATAGAAAAAGTGGCCCACACCTCATAGCCACTGTGGGTTGGGCCTGGCATACCTAGAAGGGCAAAGAAGAGGAGGGTGGATGCTCAGCTACTGCCAACATGGCAGCTCCAGCTCGGGAGCCTCCTGCGGCCCCACAGGCTGTTATTCTGGGCTCCCTTGCCTTGGGCTGTGAGCACAGCAAAGCAGCCCAGTTTCCAGTCTGTGCATCTGGCACTGGGCTCCTTGAAGGTAACTGCACACCTCGTAAAGCATCATCCTTGTGACCTCATCGTTAGCAGTATCTGAGATAACGAATTGCCTACTGGCAAACTTTCAGCAATAGGAGCTGTTATCTGGTCGACAAGATGGATAGTGAGTTTCAAGAGAGTGTCAGATGTGTTAAAACTGAAACACCACTAGATATCAGGCTGGATAAATACCTTAAATGTATGTCATTCTGGGGCCCATTTCAGGGTGAGAGGTTAGTGCTGGAGAGGTGTTGTGGGATGGTCTTTTTCTACACTGTGAAGATGTGTCTTTGCTAAGCCACCTCCTGATTTGTTTAAGAAAAAGCTAAACAGTCAACAGCCTGGACTTCTAGATGAAAGGAACTCTGGGAAGAAAGTCAGAGTTGCCAGGGAGACTCCAAGGGAGAAAGACACGCAGTAGAGATAAAAGCCACAAGTCACTTAGCAACCTGTTGTATGCTGGTGGCAGAAAGAACAATCTTTCTAGGCAAATGAGTCAGCACATTCTGAGTGACCAGGACAACTGAGAGAGTCCTCGAGTGCCACTCTGAGAACCTGGTAGTTAGAACATGTTAACAAACACATGGACTTTCCCCAAAACTAATAAGTTATGTTACAAATTGAAGAGGAATGATTGTCATATGACCATTTTAGATATACTAGTCTCTTATATATGACTAAGGAAATAATTTGTCTTTAAACCTATATAAGAATATAGGTCATGTTACACCCTCATGCATAATAGTAATATGTAACACTCGATTTGGTGTTACACCCTCGGTACAGTTCGCGCGCCACTGTACCGAACGCGAGTCGGGCAAGGGCCTGGAGATTGAAAAGAAGACACAGAGAGACCAGGGTCATTCGAAAGGAGATCAGCCGAATGCCACTTTATTCAGCATTGGGGGAGTCCTTATCTACCTGACTGCAGCACAAGGATCTCCGCCCAGGCAGGTGGGAAATTACCATATTAACAATGGAGTAAATGCCCTGCAGCTAACCACCAGGTGGGGCAGGCATAGCACAGAAACACACAGGAAGCTTAGTTAGTTGATCATAAACTGTCCCCATGAATGCACCACAGGAATAAGGGAGACCAGGGCCCCACAGTAATATATATATATATATATGGGTGTGTGTGTGTGCTGTTAAGTCTTTTCTTTGACTGACTGACAAGCCTTGTTGATGATGCAATAAGCCAATCAGACCAAATCAAACCAAATTAAAAGAAACCCAGGTTTAATGGACGCTAGCACTCCCGGGTGGCCCCTGAGAAAACACAGAGAGGGGGAAAGAGAACCAAAATGACCACTGGGGAGGGAATGACCACGTGTTCATTCCCTGAGGGGCAGTTTAAATAGCCTGTGGGAGTGGTCTTGTCTCTCCCTGGGGAGAGATCACTGTTGTTGGTCTTTCTCAGAGGTGGAGTTTGGACTGAGGCAACTCCCAGGGGAGGGAGCTTTGAAAAGGAACTTTCCACCTAACATTTCAAAATGGATGCCAGGGGGCCCGGGCTGAAGTCCCCAGCCAAACAGGTACAACATGCCAAAATTAAATCAATACCAGATAAACAATTTAAATAGACCTGTAACTCATAAGGAAAGAGAAACTTTCATCAAAAGTTTTCCAATTATAAATAAAAAGCCCAGAGCCAGATAGTTTAACCACAGAATTCTACGAAAATTTTAAAGAAAAGCTAATACTTATATCACACATATTTTTCCAAATAATAGAATCAGAAGGAACATTGCCAAATTCTTTTTACAGGTCTACAGTTACAGGTTACAATACCTGAACCACACAAAGACTCTACTAACAAAGAGAATTACAGTCCAATTTCCCTCATGAACACTGATGCACAAATTCTGAATTAACCACTGGCAAACAGAATCAACAACAGACATAAAAAAATCATCCACCGTGACTAAACAGGCTTTAGCCCAGAGATGGAGGAATGGTTCAACATAGGAGAATTTGTCAATGTAATCTACAATATAAATAAACTGAAAGAAAAATGCCACATGATCATCCCATTAGATTTTGAAAAGGGGCTTCTACAAAATTCAACATGATTTTTTTCTTTCTTTTTTTGGGGGGTGGGTGGGGGTGGGTAGTTTTTGAGACAGGGTTTCTCTGTAGTTTTGGGGCCTGACCTGGAACTAGCTGTTGTAGATGAGGCTGTGCTCGAACTCACAGAGACTCTCCTTCCTCTGCCTCCCAAGTGCTGGGATTAAAGGCATATGCCGCCACCACACAGCTCAACGTGATTTTTTTAAAAATATTTATTTATTATGTATTCACTATTCTGTCTGTATGTAGGCCAGAAGAGGGCACCAGACCTCATTAGAGATGGTTGTGAGCCACCATGTGGTTGCCGGGAATTGAACTCAGGACCTTTGGAAGAACAGGCAATGCTCTTAACCACTGAGCCATCTCTCCAGCCCTCAACGTGATTTTTTAAGGCCATAGTAAGACTGAAATCAGAACATATGGACCAGAAGTGACCTGTGAGCCCAATATTTCTGTCAAAGTCTTGACTCACGTTTACACATGTCTTGCTCTGGATCTGGGGGTGAGCACCAGACCGACTCTCCACAGCTGCTTGGAACCCAAACAGTAGTCACATTGTTGTTAGGAAACCACATTTTATACAGTGTTAGTCAGATCACACTTTTAGACATTGTTAGTAAGTCTCCATACCTAACAAGAACAAGGTTCTGTTTCCTAAGCCTAATGTACCTTGCTAAAAGTGTTTCAACCTGTTGTGAGTTTATGATCCATGATGTCTGCACAGTTTGTGTTACAAAAATAGCCTGTAAGCCGGGCGATGGTGGCGCACGCCTTTAATCCCAGCACTCGGGAGGCAGAGGCAGGCGGATCTCTGTGAGTTCGAGACCAGCCTGGTCTACAAGAGCTAGTTCCAGGACAGGCTCCAAAGCCACAGAGAAACCCTGTCTCGAAAAAACAAACACACACACACAAAAAGCCTGTGATATGATTGCGATTTTGCCTTACGAAAATGTGTCTCCATATTCCTTAATGAGCCCCTCCCCACATGCTGTATTTTTTATTTCTGCTTCTTCTTCTCCCCCCCCCCGTCCGTAATCTTTTGTTTATAATTTCATTCTTCCTATGGGTCATTTATCTTTCGCGCAGATTTCTGGGAAATGTAGTCCCCGCAACTGTGACGTCCCAAACTGCCTTCCAGGAAACCCCACACTCTAGGTCTCTACTTGTACGCGTGCCCCAAAGTTGTGCGAGAGTCCCGCCTGCTGTGCATTCCCGTTGCGTCTCTGACACGGAGGTTGGTCCAGGGTGCAGCGCAGCCTGAGGCTCTGTGCGGGATGCGCGGCCGTCTTGGAGGGAGCGGACCCAGGCTGGCTGAAGAAGCTCAGGGAGAAGCAGCCTTGTAGGTGCTGTGCTCAACTGACTGGGATGAGGGCGGCAGGGACTGTGCCCTGAGTGATGGTTTCTTTAGGACGCCACGTGCAGCCTGAGCCCGCCTTAGGCTTCTGGGACAGGAGAGCAGCCTGGGAGCGCGGAGTAGATGATAGTGCTGGGTCCAGGGTTGCAGGCTAAGGATGGTCAGCTGACTGCCTGCTCCGGAGGGGGAGCTGGGAGCTCACTGAGCAGCTTTGGTGGGGAAGCCTGCTTCACTTCTGACCCATTCTCGTATGGATGCTGTCGGATTTCTCATTATTTTTTAGAGCAAACGGGTTTCTGGTCCTTTCTGTACTCTGTAGCCAGACTAGTGTAACGGTCTTGAGGTCTTGATTATGTCCATTTTCTCTGCCAGTTAAAGAATTCACAGATGAAAAACCTTTGGCGCAACAGGTCGCTGGTGGGAAATTCTGAAATGCAGACTGCCAGAATCAGCTGCTGTAGAAAAGCTTTGGCTAGGGTGAGAGAGAGCACACAGGCTGCAGATGCGTGGAGTGAGGGACCCGGTGCAAAGCAGAATGCCGAACAGGAAACGGAACTGCAACTTTACCTTGGGGGCTGGGTTTACTAACCCTTGATAGGGCTTCCATCTGTAATGTAGGATAGACTAACTGTAAAACAGGGGGATGTCTGCTTGTCCCACAATGGTTGTCCGTGTCCAGCACTCCTGTCCCTTTGCTCTTGCTGCTTCGTAACTAATTTTGCTAAGTCATTTGATGTGAAGAAGTTTGGAGATGAAGGTTTTCCAAAGGGTCATGACCCACACGTTGAGAACCACTGCCCTGGTTTAAAGAGTGGGATCTATTTTTTTCACTCACTTCTTCTAAAGGTGGTAACATTCTGTACTAGCTACGAAGAAGCTTCTAAAATAGTTCAGCTTCTGTTCCCTTGAGAAATCACTGGGTACTCTATTCACCAAATTGCTTCATTCTGCCTGGTTCTTGAACATCTGCAGGCCTCTTTGCTGTTCAGCTCCGCCCTTTAGTTAAAGACATTTTCTATGTCATCATTTTTTTTTTCTGGAGGCTATATTTCAGTTGTCCCTAAAGTTTTGTGATGTTAAGTTTCTCCCTCTTCCCAATGGTGAAAGCACATTGGCCTTCAGAGACAAGACTCGGGATTGGAGCCGGAGCTGACCTGAAGGTCTCCTCCTGCCTAAGAGTGAATTTTCTTACTGCTGGAAGGTGCTTTGCAAGGGAGAGAAGCAATAAATAGCCCTGCTTAGCTGTTGTATCTGTGAAACACAACTATGAGCAGTGCGGCCTCGTCCCTAAAGGTGCCCCTGTGTCTCCCACATCTCGGCATTAGCAGCAGTTGTCTCTGATGACTTCTTAGTTCTTAAGTTACAGAGGAGAGCATACTGGAACACTAAAGCATCACAGTTGATAACTGCATTCCAGATGCTTTTCCCTAGACCTACACGGAAGTGTAGCTGTCACTGCCTGTTAAAGACACTGCTCACTGCAGCACAGAGAGCATTACAGAAAACTAAAACGTTCAGATCCAGAGAACTATTGTCTCGTGATGCCCTGACCCAGTAGATACACCACATCACAATTCCTGTGCAGAAGGTCAGGGAATATATCTGCAGAGGGTCCATATTGATCATGAGAGCTTGGGGTCCAGGAAGTCTGTCGTGAGGTTGTGCCTTCCAGAAAGGGAAGGGAAGCTGCACCCATGACACCCCAATAATAAGACTGCCTGAACAAGCCCTGAACAATGGCAGTGGCACAAGATCCCCTGCAGGGGGCAGTCTGCTGGCTAACAGAGAAGTATAGGCACATAAGGACTGCTAAGAGAGGAGAATTAGTCTTCCCCAGGGCTGAGCCCACTCACTGTTCATCCAGTAACAAGTGGTCAATCCCCAAAACATACATACAGGCAACAGTGAACAGAATAGGCCATTCATATTTTTGCACTTATGTGTAGTGTGTGTGTGTATGTGCATATATATATATATATATATAGAGAGAGAGAGAGAGAGAGACCTATATTTTTGTGCTGTGTCTGTGCACGTGTGTAACAATAATAATTAGAGAAGAATATACCATATATTTGAGACAGACTGTTGGGGGACATGAGAGAAGTTGCATTGAGGAGATAGGGGGGTATATCATACACACACACACACAAACGCACGCACACGCACATATATACACACACATCCTCTTTTTGGTTTTCTGAGACAGTGTTTCTCTGTGTGATAGCCCTACCTGTCCTAGAAGCAGCTCTGCCTGCCTCTGCCTCCCAAGTGCTGGGATTAAAGGCGTGCGCCACCACCACCTAGCTTGAAGAGTACATTTTACAAACCTGGAAGATAGTGTTTGAAGTGACCATTCAAAATTGAGAGACAGGATCTTAACCATGAAATTATTCCAAAATATCTCATTATTACATAAACTGCTGGCATTTTCTGTATTGATATAAAGGAAAACTAATGTGTGACTTTTTTATAGATCATCCTGGGACTTTACTCAATAAAATATAAAGAGCATAAATTCTAAAATTAGGAAATTTTGAAATGTGAAAATAGCATCAGCAATTCTATGTCTCAGCTATGCACACTGATGCTCAGGTGTCGTGTGTACAAACATGCTTAGGAATACCGCAGCCCACTTTAGTACCTGCCAGAGAAAAGATAGGGAGGGAAAATGACAAAAACATCAAGTGATGTGTATTCTATTCTAAATATCAAGCAGTGTTGTTAGTCTTATTTTTGCCCATTTTCCCATATGATCAGATACTTAAATGATATTTAGTCTGTGAGTTCCTCCCCTTGCCTGCTCTTCTCATGTTCCGTGTCCCTGTCATCTGCATCATTACTGAACTCTGTAGAAATCCTGAGCCCACAGCACAGCCAGAGCTGCTGCAGCAGACTCTGTATTTTCATTCCACTTCACTGTCATGATTGTGCGCATGAACTGTTGAGAAATCCCTTCTCCCTCACCGTGACTTTCTCCTGTGAGGAATACATATGTGTGTGGTGTGCAGTAGCACATGGGACTAAGTGCATGTGCTGTGAATGCATTCATTTTATATTTGTGTCTGTAATGTATCATGTCCAGCTGGGCTTATGGGATTGTTTACCTTGTCTTTCCTTCCGGCGGGTCCAGTGTGAGATCATGTGACCACTTCAGATGTGTCTGAGGAACATTAATACCCAATGTAAGAAGCATTTCTAACTGTCTTTCATCCTGGGAAAAATCTAGATTTGTGTCCACAGACACATGATACCTGTGTTAGGGTTTCTATTGTTGTGATAAAGACCATGACAAAATACAGCTCAGAGAAGAAAGCATTTATTTTGGACTACACCCTCAGATAACAGGTCATCACTGAGGGAAGTCAAGGCAGGAACCTGAGGCAAGAATTGGAGCCGAGGCCACTTGCCCAGCGAGCATCCCTATACTGGATAGAACTGCGTGCTCAGGGGAGTGGCACCGCCCATAGTGGGCTGTGCTGTGTTCTAGCAATCATTAGTTAAGAAAATGCTATAGGCCTCCCTACAAGACAGTCTTAGGGAGACATTTTCTCAATTATGCTTTTCTCTTCTCAAATGGCCCCAGCTAGTGTTCAGTTCACAGGAAAACTATCCAGCCCAATGTATCTTAGTATTTCTATTATTCATGGTTTTAATTAAAGTGTGATATCATTCACTGATCTTTATTTCAGGAAATGCTGTCCTTCTCTGATGTGGCCATCGAGTTCTCTCCAGAAGAGAGGGAATGTCTGGAGCCTGCTCAGTGGAATCTGTACAGGGATGTGATGCTGGAGAATTATAGCCACCTTGAGTTCCTGGGTGAGCATCTCCTCTATAGTGACTTCTTAGTTCACCATCAACATGTAGCTTCCTCCTTCTGTACATTATCTCTTGAGAACATTTCAACAGTGGGAGTCCTATCCCTCGATTTCAGAAAATTAGGGAGATTTCTGTGTTTAGTATCACTTTGGGACTGGAGAGATTGCTCAGTAGTTAAGAGCACTGACTGCTCTTTTAGAGGACCAGAGTTCAATTCCTAGCATGGCAGCTTATTACTGTCTATAATTCTAAGATGTGACATCCTTACAAAGACATACATGCAGGCAAAACAGCAAAAAAAAATTAAATTAAATTACTAAAAAATCCATTTCACTTTTCTCTTTTTGTGTCTAGCCTTTCTGTGTTGGAGAGCTGTTCCCTTTAGTCTAGTGGTACTGTTAAAAATTCAATGGCATGACACACGGAGCATACTTTTTAGTTAAAGTGTTACAGAATTCTGCTTTATTACTTGTTTCCATTAAATGAAACTCAGAATCTGGATGTTATAAATTAATTTATGTATTGTACTGATCTTGTCAGAGAACATTTTAGAATCTGATTATCTGTAACCATTTATTACTTCACCTCTTTCCTTATAAATGGTGTATTGGAAGGGGCATGCCAATTCCCAGTAGAAGGACACTCAAACAGTCTGGTTTCCTTTTTCTATAATCAGGTCTTGCTGTTTCTAAACCACACCTGGTGACATTTCTGGAGCAAAGACAAGGGCCTTCAAGCGGAAAGAGACAAGCAGCAGCTAACGTGCACCCAGGTGTGTGGGACTGAGGGGTTTAGTGGCAGAGTTGAGGTCCAAGTATCCAACAGAAAGTGAGGCTTTGCCATGTGCCTTGAAACATGATACCATGGGAAGCATTCTTTAGGTCTCTCCTTCAGGTCTTTGTTGTCAAAGCACACCTCTCAGACGCTTATGATGGTTTAAGTCTCTTAAGCTTTGTATCGCCCCAAAAGCAAGGTGTGCTTTTATTTAAAGTGACCTCCAAGGTTTTTCTTTTTGTTGATTCCCCATTGTCGTGTAAGACTCAGGGAAGAACTCAGTGCTGGTCAGACTGAGAGTGATTTATTTGCAGAGGCTGAGAGCAGACTCATGTCTTTACCAAAGTGAGCATGATTGGGTTTATAAAGCTGAACCTACAATTCCATCATAGAGAGGCAGGCAGTGACAGAGGGCCATTAAGTACAATAACTTAACAGAAGCTGTTTGGTTGTTTTTTTAAAAAACCTTTTTACTACCAGTTACTTCAGCATTACCTGGTCATTAGACCTAGGAAGAGTAGGACAGGATGACCTACAAGGTCTTACACTGTTGTTTCAGGGACACCCATCAAACCAGTCTGGGCACAGTGATTATGTGCCTCTTTTATGGCAGTTAGTGAGTTGTAATTCTCCATTTTGGGGGATATATATTTTTTTTTCAAGTTAATATGTTTATCATATGTTATGTCTGCTTTTGTTTTGTTTGGTTTTGGTTTTTATTTTCCAAGACAAGGTTTCTCTGTATATTTCTAACTGTCCTGGAACTAGCTCTCTATTCCAGGCTGGCCTCCACCTCACAGAGAACCACCTGCCTCTGCCTCCCACTTGTGGAGTTAAAGGCATACACCTCCACCACTCGGCTTCTTATTGTTATTTGGATATATTCTAGTCACAAGTTGTGAAAGAAATTAAAGACTTTTGTGTATAAACCCAATATTCTCAGATATGTCAGAGCTAGTAAAATGTTTTGTTTCATATCTTGTCAGGATAACCACTTTTGTTAGCCCTATAGGAAGCATCATGGCTAATATTACCTTGAGTTCAATTGGACAGAGGTCTTGTGTTCCCTTCTTTCGAGGTCTTCTGTTGATTCTCAAACTCTTGCAAGTGTTTATTTTCATTGGCTTGCAGATTTGTAATGGAAGCAGTGCTGAGGAGTGTGCACAAAGCTTTTTGTTGGGACCATGATCAGCTTTGTCCCACCAGCCATTCCCAAATAACTACTCAAGAGACTCAATATTAATTATAAATATTCAGCTGATAGCTAAGGGTTATTATTAACTAGTGCTTGCATTTTAAATTAACCTATATGTCTTTTTTACACTGTGCCATGTGGTGGTACCTTTTCTCCATATGGCATGTTTTTCTTTTCTCTGCATCCTTTTTACTCCTCTGCCTCAGCCCTTCCTCTTCCCAGCACTCTGCCCTGAAATTCCTGCCTATCTTTGGGATAATCAGCTTTTTATTAACAATGAAAGCAACACATCTTCACAGTGTGCAGAAGGATTATTCCACAGCATTTACCCCTTTCTGTTTAACTAAAACCGAAGGTTTTAATTTTCACACAGTAAAACTTTATATAACAAGACCAGTTGTCAAGTAATCATTATAGTTACAATGGCCAGTTCTTTTTTTATTTGGCAAATTTAGAGGAAATATTTTATTATCTATTTTATCTTTGTGAGTCAAAAATGGTTTTTAATCTAATTTTCTTTTTATCATAACTAAGGAAAACTTTAAGTCTAATTATTTAGTCTTAAATTCTATCAAAGACCCAGAAGGGTGAAATGTTACCTAACAACGGTTACATCTGGCTACCTGGACAGTTAATCAAAGTTCTTCTGTAACATTGGGGCATTCATCTTTGGCCTAAAAAACTAGTAAAAGTAGTAGACTATTTTTTAAACTTTATTTTTTTAAAGATTTTTAAATTCTTTTTTATTGAGCTATAGATTTAACCCCCTCTCACCTTCCTTCCTCCGCCTCTCCCAATAAACCCTCCCCCTTGTGCCCACTCCACACTCAGGAAATCTTGAAAATACTTTCTTTTGTTTTTTGTTTGTTTGTTTGTTGAGATAGGGTTTCTCTGTGTACTTTTGGCTGTCCTGGATCTTACTCTGTGTACCAGGTTGGCCTTGAACCTACAGAGATCCACCTGCTTCTGCCTTCCAAGTTCTGGGATTAAAGGTGTATGCTACTGCCGGGCGGTGGTGGCACACGCCTTTAATCCCAGCACTCGGGAGGCAGAGGCAGGCGGATCTCTGTGAGTTCGAGACCAGCCTGATCTGCAAGAGCTAGTTCCAGGACAGGAACCAAAAGCTACGGAGAAACCCTGTCTCGAAAAATCAAAAACAAAACAAAACAAAAGGTGTATGCTACTATAACTGGCTTCTACCAGGCATTTTTGAGAAGGAGGGAATTTTAAGGACTATCCTTCCTTGTCTTGGCAAAGTTTGGCAGTCACTTTCTTTTGTGTCCTGCTGGTCCAGTTTGGATACTATGCTGTTATCCATTGAGGCAAGGGCATGTAGCATGAATTCTAATTGATCTTCATAATAAAAACCCCAAATCAGATATTGGGAGTAAATGATGCAAGATCAAAGAAGTAAATGAGCCAGCCATTAGACTTCTTATTTCTACCAAATCCTCAGACTAAAAGGGACCAAGCTCTTGTCTCCATCTACCTTATCTCTCTCTGCCCAGGTAAATCACTTTCTGTTTCTTCCCCCCAAGGTCTGGGATTAAAGGTGTGTGCCACTACTGTCTGGTCACTCTGGTTAATTAGTGGCTAGCTCTGCTCTCTGATCTCCAGGCAAGCTTTATTTGTTAAAGCACAAACAAAATATCACATTTCCCACTTTTTGTCTGAAATAAAAAAGGTTATAACTTACATAAGAAAATATATATACAATAAGTACAATAACTATATACAATATATACAGTCAATGATTACATCAACAATGTCCATAAACAATTGACAAATTCAGAGAAAATACTCTATTATCTATTCTGTCTTTGTGATTCCAAAATGATATACCTAATTCACTTTCTATTAAAACTTTCATTACTAAAATTATCTTTTAATACTCTCTCCCCCATACACTTTAAACTTCTTTAGTGCATCTCTTTTCTGAATCTGGTAACAAGGAAAACTGTAACTATCAACTCCATCAGAGATTTGACAAGGAAATAATATTACCTGAGTAAACAGGAAGTGCAAGCAAGTGACTTCCAAAATAATGTGAGAAATGATGGAAACAACTGACTGCCTGAACAATCAACCAAGGTTCCTCTGCAAGGTGGATGATTCTGTCTTCAGTCTAGCATATCTGACCAACTTTTCTGTGAATCAGGATATTCTGAAAGGCTGTCCCACCTTGTGTTGGCAAAATTTGGCAGACTTTTCTTTTGTGTCCTACATACCTACAATACTGAAGACGTACATTAAGTAGCTTGTATCATCATAAAGAATGCTATAAGGGGAGCTCAGCGCCAGGGATGAGGAGGTTATAGAGTAGTAGACATGGAGAGATTCCCAGGCCCACTAATACAGCCTGAGAAACGATATTGGCACTGCTCATAGAGGACAGACAGAAGGACAGAGGAACTCACAGCTTCCAGCTATCTTGAATCCAAAGTGAGCTAAGAGATGGGCTGACTCTCAGTTCCACAAGGGTCATCAGGGAAAGCAAGAAATAAGGCACAGAACAATAGCTGAGACAACATAATGGAAGGGAGGGGAGTATGCAAAATCATTCATTCAGCATCCACAGAAATGACAAAGGATGTGGATTTAACTGAAAATTTTTATCTGTTACATCTTCAGTCAGCATCTTTACTCTTAGAAGGATTCCCAGGGAAGGAGTCTTTGTCAGGATTTTTACCAGAATCTGGACCAGACAAAAATACCCACACCTGCCCCATTGGAGGATCAGGAAAAGGTTGGGTTTGTGTCAGGAAGGAAATACATTGGTCATCCCAGGACTGTCTAATCCTAGTTTAATTGGGTTTACAAAGCCAAGCCCACAATTACATCATACCAGACACAGGCTGGGAGCCTAAAATCTAAACGTTTAGTTCCATTGACTCAAACAATTTGTTCTGGGAATAGATAGGACACATTGATAAAGTCCATAATAACAGTGTAAGATTATAAACTATGAATTGTGCTCTGTACATTTCCACTTTATTGGTAAACACAAGCTTCTTGTTTTCATGCCTTGTTCATTGTTTCTCTGTTTAGTGCACAATAGCTGTTTTTTCTTAGAAATATGTAATTTTATTGTCTGGCATGATGGCTTTCTTCACTGATCCCAGCATTTGGGAGGCAGAGGTAGGTGAATCCCTAAATTTGTGACCAGCCTGGTCTAGATTGTGAGCTCCAGGACATGGAGAAACCTTGTCTTCAAACAGCAAAAACAAAAAAGGAAATAAGTAATTTTTAATCTACTCATTGACAAATATGCTGTCTTAGCAAAATTTGTGTAATACACAGGTGAACTTGAAGTTTTTTTTTGTTTGTTTGTTTGTTTTTTGTTGTTGTTGTTGTTTTTTGTTTTTTCGAGACAGGGTTTCTCTGTGGTTTTGGAGCCTGTCCTGGAACTAGCTCTTGTAGAGCAGGCTAGTCTCGAACTCACAGAGATCCGCCTGCCTCTGCCTCCTGAGTGCTGGGATTAAAAGCGTGCACCACCACCGCCCGGCTTGAAGTTTTTTTTTAAATTGTGACTTGATATGTTTGAGGTATATACTTTCTTGTTGTCCAAAAAAACATAAAAATACTGACCTGACTTTTTGATCTATAAATTTAATCTTTTCTTGAACCATCTACTTCTTGTACAACTTATCTTTTGTGCCTTTCAAAATAAAATTATATGTGGAGATAAAGTTTGTATTTAGATGGTGCTGACATTCACACAGCCACAATTAACTATCTCCTTTCCCGGATTGGCTAATTTATAAATTCATGATGTCCGGACATAGAATACCTTTATTGTTTAATGGGTTTATTTCTGTCAGTAAAATGCCCAATGCCCTTACAAATTACTTTGCTATTAAACTTCGAATAATATGCCATTATGTCTATGTTCTATTTGGATATGCTCTTATTCTAGTAGAAGGATAGATTATTTCTACCTCCAATATTTTATCATTTATACTTAGTGCCTAGAGATTTTAAAATATACTGTAGTTTCTTGTGGTGATATTTTGTTTATAATCTAACAAATGAAGCTTGCCTTAAAATCAGGGTGTAGAGCTAGCCACACTAGTTAGCCATAGAGGCTAGGTAGTGGTGGCATAGACCATTAATGCTAGCACTTGGGAAACAGAGGCAGATGGATCTCTTTTAGTTCAAGGCTACATAAAATTGATTCAGTCTAAAAGAGAAACAGAGCCAAGCAGTGGTGGCTCACACCTTCAATCCCAGTATTTGGGAGCCATACACCATTAATCCAAACACTAAGCAGGTGGAGATAAGAAGAGATATGGCTGGACCAAGAGAGGAATATAAGACAGGAGGCTACAGGAGCTCATTGCAGACTGAGGAGCTGCGAGTCTCAGGATGAAGTCTGAGGAGGCAATCTAGGAACATTTTGTCTAATGCCCTTTGTCTGGGCATTAGTAGAGGTAAGGACTCTAGTGGCTGGCCGTTCTGCTTCTCTGACCCTTCAGCTTGCATCCCCAATAGCTGACTCCAAGTTTTTATTGTTGAGAACAATTAGAATTCCTGCTACAGTTTATCACTGATGCTTCAATATGTTTGAGTAAATGTTTCCTTTTAAATAGATAAAGCATGAAGAATATTTTCTAGCCTTTGTTCATGTCTCAACTTGGCTCAACAGGAACAAGACTCAGTGAGTATCACATTTACAATAAGGCCATTGACTGTAACTCACTACACATTCAACACCGGAGAATTCATAGAAGGGAGAAACGCTACAAGTGTGAAGACTGTGGTAAGGCCCTTAGTTCTTATAAAACACTTTCTATACACCAGAGACTTCACACTGGAGAAAAACCCTTCACCTGTAAAGAATGTCACAAGGCCTTCTGTACTCGCTCATCACTTTTTATACACCAGAAAGATCACACTGATGAAAAAACCTACAAGTGTGAAGACTGTGGCAGATCATTTTACTATCTTTCAATGCTGAAGCAACATCAGAGAATTCATTCTGGGGAGAAACCCTACAAGTGTAAAGAATGTGGCAGGGCTTTTTATGACCCTTCCTTACTGAAAAAGCATCAAAGCACTCCTTGTGGAGGGAAACCATACCAGTGTGAAGAGTGTCAGCAGACGTTTCTTTATCACTCATCCCTTAAGAACCACAAGGCAGTTCACACTGGAGAGAAACTCCGCAGGCGGAAAGTGCGAGGGAAAGGATTTACTAGGCCTGCCTTCCTCTTTGAGGACAAGGCAGCTCATACTGCAGAGAAAACGTACACATGTGCAGAGTGTGGCAAGTATTTTTACTCTGGTTCATCCCTTAAAAAACATCAAATCATCCATTCTGAAGACAGTCGTCCCTACTCGTGTGCAGAGTGTGGCAAAAGGTTCTCCTACTTTGCACACTTTCATCAACACCAGAGAGTCCACACTGGAGAGAAGCCATACAAGTGTGAGGAGTGTGGCAAATATTTTACCAAACGTTTATCCCTTAGGCGACATCAACCAATTCACTGTGAAGACAATCCATACAAGTGTGAAGTGTGTGGCAAAAGGTTTTCCTACTTTTCACTCCTTCATCAACATCAGAGAATCCACACTGGAGAGAAGCCATATAAGTGTGAGGAGTGTGGCAAATGTTTTTCCACATGTTCAACCCTTAGGCGACATCAAACAATCCATTCTGAAGACAATCCCTACAAGTGTGCAGAGTGTGGCAAACGGTATTACTGTTCTAGGGATTTTCAGGAACATCAATCAATTCATACTGGAAAGAAACCCTACAAGTGTGAGGAATGTCACAAAGCCTTTCGTTATCACACCTCCTTTAGGAAACACAAGAGACTTCATACTGGAGAGAACCTCTAGAAGTGTAAAGACTGTGACAGAAGGTTTTCCTCATCTTCCACACTTAGACGACATAAAACAAAAACAAAAATTCATTCTGAAGACAATTCGTAAAAGTGTGGGGAATGTAGCAAAGACTTTGCGAATCTTTATAGCCTTACTCAACACATGATATAGTTCATACAGAAGAGAAATCCTACAAATGCCTTAAAAGTTTACTTCATCAACCCTTAAAACACATCAAATGATTCACAATTACTCCATGATTGTGTAAAGTGTAGTAAAAATCTTTGCTAACAATTCAGATCTTACCCAACTCCAATGAATCCATGGTGGAGAATATTAAGTTAATCATTTTGGATGTCAATATGAACATCTAACATAGAACAACTCAAATGCTAAGAATGTCATCAGAGAACAGCAGAGACTTCTCTTTGCTCACAACAGTTTGTTCAAGCAATGTGTTTGAAACTTGCCTTAATGAATGAATCTCTATCTTCTGTAACCATAAATGCTCCATGAAACCTTTCCCATGTCCTAGCTTTGTCCTTTGGTCACCCAGAATCTGAGATCTGGGCTGTGGCATAGTTACTGTTGTTTTTCCCAGTGGAGTCATCTGAGCTCCTGTAACATCCCCTTGGTGTGTAAAAAGCTCCGCCTCTCTGAGCTAGCAGGTGTCCACCCAGCGTCTGGCTCTGGAATCCTTACTGGTAAATAAAGGACAGAGACAGAGCTGTAAAGGAAAAAGGCCAAGTAACATACAAAGGCCTATCAGGATTACACCCAGCTTCTCAATGGAAACCCTGAAAGTCAGAAGGTCCTCGATAGATATTCTGCAGACATTAAGAGACCATGGATGCCAGTCCAGACTACAATGCACAGCAAAGCTTTTAATCACCATAGATGGAGAAAACAAGATATTCCATGATAAAATCAGCTTTAAACAATACTTATCTACAAATCTAGTCCCACAGAAAGTACTAGAAGGAATACACCAATCAAAGGAGGTTAGCTGTACCCACAAAAAACACAGGCAACAGATAACCTAACACCAACAAACCCCAAAGAATGGAAACACACACACACACACACACACATCACCACCAACAAAACCAAAAATAGGAGGAATTAACAATCACTGATCATTAATATCTCTTAATATCTAATGGACTCAATTCACTTAGACAAAGGTTAATAGAATGGATATGAAAATGGGACCCATTCTGCTGCATACAATAAACACAACTCAACTTCCAAGACAGACATTACTTCACAGTAATGGATTAGGAAAAGACTTTCCAATCAAATGGGCCTGAAAAACAAGATGGTGTAGCTATCCTAATAGCTAACAAAATGGGCTTCAAACTGAAATTATTCGAAAGAGATGGAGGACATTCATATTCATCACAGGAAAAATCCATCAAGATGAAGTCTCAGTTCGGAACATCTATACCCCAAATACAAGGGCACCCACAGTTATAAAATAAATGTTACTAAAGTGTGTTCCTATTCTAATCCCTCATCCATACTTCTGTCTGCAATCTCAGTAATAAACTCATTGATTCCTGAACATAGGTGTGGTGATATCTTGTTTATACTCTAACAAATGAAGCTTGCCTGAAGATCAGGATGTGGAGACATCCACTAGCTAACCAGAGAGGTCTGGAAGTCTGGACAGACAGACAAACTGAGATGACTGTGTAGGGAGAAGTAAATAGGTGGTGATTGGGAATTCTTAAAGGAGGGATTAGTTTTAAAAAGAGAGGAAGTTTTTTTCCCACATTAAAAAATGGGAACCACTACTACAGTGGAGGGACTTAGGTCTCTGTATGATAATAAGCTGAATGGTTTGAAAATAGAACAATTAAATGAGAGGAAAACTAATTTTGATGGGACTTATGTAATGTCAATTATAAATATTATCAGTTTTATCATTTTTATGTTATCACTAAAGAAGTTGGTTAATATGAGTGCTAAGATACAAGTTTTAGAAAAACTTAATAAAACATAATAGAGAGATATTCCGATCAGACAGAGGGATTTCATGGAGAAAAGATTTCAGTGTTGCATTGTAAGATTAGAGAGGAACAGGGCTGGAGAGATGGCTCAGCGGTTAAGAGCATTGCATGCTCTTCCAAAGGACCCGAGTTCGATTCCCAGCAACCACATGGTGGCTCACAACCATCTGCAATGGGGTCTGGTGCCCTCTTCTAGCCTGTAGGCATATATGCAAACAGAATATTGTATCCATAATAAATAAATATTTAAAAAAAAAAGATTAGAGAGGAACAGCCTGAAGTTTTCAAACAACCAACTTTAATTTTTCCAGTCATCTTACAAGAACAACTGCCAAAAGACATCCCTATGGCTGTGTAAGAGTTAATTGGACTCCTGTGGAAATGTTACCTTTAAGGAGATTCAAGGAAGTGATAGTTTGATATGGCATGTATTTACTTTTTGTGAAGCAAATGTTAAACTCATGGTCAACTTGTAGTACAATTATCCCGAAAGACTACAAAGACTTGGTTAAAGCAGTCTTGGAGCCTAGCCCTCAATTACAATGGAAGATCTTTTGGGAAGATGAGGCTAAGACCATTGAGCAATGAAGTACTGCTAGAGGTATGGAAACCTCCCTAGACCAATTTCTTTTTTTTTTTTTTTTTTTTTTGGTTTTTTCGAGACAGGGTTTCTCTGTGGCTTTGGAGCCTGTCCTGGAACTAGCTCTGTAGACCAGGCTGGTCTCGAACTCACAGAGATCCGCCTGCCTCTGCCTCCCGAGTGCTGGGATTAAAGGCGTGCGCCAACACCGCCCGGCGTCCAATTTCTTGAAAAGGGAGATTATGCCGATTTACAAAAATAATCTCTATAGGATGACCACACCCTGGATTTAAGCCACACAGCAGCTTTGAATGCTTGGGATAGAAATGGAGAAGTAGGAAAGAAAATTGAGTCATTTACTAAAGTTATACAGGCCCAAAGGAAGCCTTTATGGATTTCTTACAAAGACTGACTTCATTAGTAAATAGAATAATAACAAATTCAGAAGCTAGACAAATAATAATTGAAACTCTGGCTTTTCATTACCTGAAATGATAATGCACAATGCAAAAGGGTAATTGGGCTGGTAAAGGCAAGATCAGCACCCTTGAAGGAATAAATCTGAGATACAATCAATATTGAATCTCATGACCACAATGATGTATGGATAAGAGGTGATTTCCAGAGGTTTGAAAAAAAATTAAACTCTCAAGTATTTCAATTACGGTAACCACAATCACCTAAAAAGGGATTGTAAACAAAGTATTCCAAGAAACAATTTTTTCTAAGCATAATTCAAACAGAATGTCCCTTCCTTCTGGATTATGCAGAAGGTGTGACAAAGGCAGATGTTGGACAAATGAATGTAGGTCATCAAGGGACAGTCAAGGTAACCCTTTGTCATTGGGAAACTCCTTGAGGGGTCTCTCTCAGGTCCCCATGTCAAATTTGGTTCAGTCATTCCTATAGCCATGGAGGAAACAGCTTCCCAGTGCAGTTAAAGAACCTAGTGTCTATTATCAGAAACCATACTGCTTTCGATGATATAAAAGCTATAGAGGAGAGAAGAAATATTTAAGGAGAAATGATAAATCAAATATTTTTTTCAGACTTTATAAATGAAAAAAGACCAAAATTAAAGGTACAAACAAATGATATTGTCATTGAAGATCTTATAGAACAGGCGCAGATGTCACAATAATTGCACCAGAATCTTGGCATCCAATTTGGCCTCTTCAGGAGGTAAATATTCAGCGTTTAGTTAGCCCAAACCATAAATTAATTTTTGGACCAGCCGAGGAGACATGGGAAATATTGACACAACTCACATGGCTTTGTCGGGAGGGATTTTTTTAGTGATCCCTCATGAAATCCTGAGTTTACATCCTGGAAATTTTATGTGTTTATACTCCAAACAGCCTTTATACCAAAACATAAATTGAGGGTAAATTTATTAATATTTTGTTTCCTAGGTAACCAGGTGAATGACATTAGTCATGTTCACATCTTTCTATGCCCTCTCTTCGTCCCAACTTCCTGCTCTGTATGCCAGCTCTGTCACGTAGGCCGAACTAGCATCTCTACCTCAGGCATCCTCCAAATTACAACGAAGGAGCAGAACAACACCAGTATATCCTGACCCTGGAGACAGCCTGTCTGTGCAGCAGGTGCAAACTGTGACCTGAGATTGTGGTCGCCATACCATGTAAAAATATGGGCCTATACACAGATCATGAGATGGGTTGGATGCTTATGGCCAGAATGACAGAGAGGACCCTAAACCTAGTCCTATAGCCCCCAAAGGGCTCCTTTTGTTGCTGGGTTCGAGCCATATAATCTCACTGGCACATTCAAGCGCAATAAGATCCCAGTAGGGTCAGGACAACCTCTGTGTCAGAGATGCAACTGGAAAGCACAGCAGGGGGCTCTCGCCCATCTTTGAGCAAAACGCACCTGTAGCAAAACAAAAGCTCAATTGGAATTTCCTGGAGGGCTTCTTGTGATGTCACAAGCACACGGACTACATATCCCAAAATTCTGTGCAAGCATCTTCTTGGAAGCCTAGTATGTAGTATGTGATCCCCGCGTTCCCCCCACCCCCACCCCCGCCACCATTCTTCTTGAATTTGTACCTGACACTTGCTGTTTTCGTTACTTCAGTAGTGAGCCAACGTTAACGCACTCGACTGTAATGTAGACTTTGTTTTAATATGCATTACTAGAAAAAAAAATAATCCTGGTTCCTCTGTATTGAACCTCTGTGTGGGTCATACATGAACAGACTCTGCAGCTTGAAAAATAGTTTTTGTGAGAACTTTGGAACCCAAATACTGAAGTATATGGTCAGGGGCACAGAGCGAATATAAAGCCCTGAAGAAAGTTAAACATAACACCATAACGTTTATTGACAAAGAACTCCCATTGGCCATCGCAGGAGTTCCCACCCACCATTAAGTCCTTTGTAAAACTCAGATGTTAACATATATAAAAAATTCAGCTTTAGTGTGAGCCCTACCAGGATCTTATCAGGATCCACCTGGTTTTTCACAAACTCAGGTTCATATACACTGCTGTGAGCTCATGCTTGCCGCCCCTGCTCCCATCCCAACGGGAGGGACACAGCTCCTGGCTCCAACTGGTGTGTGTAATGACAGCTCACCTATCATCCACTGTTGGAATTCCGTCTGCAGGTTTGGTCTGTTGTATGTTCACTTTCCGTTCCTTCTCTAATACTGAAATTCTCACGTGAGAGAATTTTGAAAGTCAGGGCATCTGCCTCGAACTTACCTCAGCTTCTCAAAATCAGGACACAGAAATGATTTATAAAATACAAAGATATTAGAAGTATCAAATAATCTTATTGAAATTTGGCAACCAAATACCTTCCTATACACAATAACCTCTCCTCTGGCAGCCTCGGAGTTCCACGTTCATCTCTTCCTAGGAAAAGAAATCCGCTCTCTATGTCCCTTCGACTCTAACTGATGCCAGTATGCACTCAGTTATCCCAGATACCTCTAGGCATGAGGTCACAAGGCTTTGCTAAACCTTTTAAAGTCTCTGGTTATCCTTCTGAAACCTCAATCATCCAGCAGACTGAGCAGCCAGGGATGCCAGGCCCAACTCACAGTGGCTGTGGGGTGTGGGACCCCTTTTGCTATGCTGGAGGGCTCCTTAGCGGTGTGGCTCTCCAGCTAGAGAAGCCACTCTGGTCCCTAATGTCAGCTCTTTCTAGTAGGTCCCCAAGTCTTCTTCCTCTAACTGTGGGAGGATATTCCCTCTGTCCTTGAGATTCCTTTGCCCTATGACTGTGATCTGCTGGGCTTTCTGCCCCAACGAGCCTGACGACTACTCTTGCTTATGTTTCTGCCTTTACACTATAGAAAACAATTGTCTTCTGTGTGTGGGCAACATCACAAATTGATTTCCCTGTAGAGGCTCCAGAGCAGACGCAGTATAGCCAGGATGGCCCGACAAGGCCTAAGTTCCTTCATGTACCACTTCTTTTAGTGCCTTTCAACTCTTTGACTTTTATGAAGGGCAGATACTGGGCCCGTAGAATTATTTATCTTGAGGCAGCCCATCATTTGACCAAGCTTAACACCCTGCAGGGCCTGGTTACTCAAGCAGACATAGCAGGAGAGATAGAAGCAGCAGACAGTCTTACATCCTTGTGATGTCACGGGGTGAACATGTAAATTGCTCTGGTAGGGCCTGTGGCCGTTACAAGGGGATGGTGCTGCTCGAGCCTGGGGCGCTGTCATCTAAGAGTATTGTAAAAGGACTAGCATTCTATTTCTCACAGCAGGAGTTTTTAAAGTATAATTATACTTGGTTTTTAATTGTATGTCATATTAAACAAACTATGTTTAAATTTGTTTCGAGGTACATGTTTTGGAATATACAGTAGCATAAGCAGAAGGCTATAGAATGAGAGACATAAATTAGCCTCTTCTTCCAATCTCATATCTGTAAATAAATTTCATCTGGACTTAGCATCACTAGAAACACAATTCTGGGCACACTACAGACATTTATTCATTCAGAAGGTGAGTTCCTATTATCTTCAAGGTTTTAATTGCCCATAACAGTTTACAGTAACTTAGTAAACTCAAGACTGAGGTGACTTTTCGGGTCTGCACCAACAGCAAAGTAAGATCTGCACCTACAGTGTCTCGTACTTGATGATCCCTTAGCCAGTAATCAAATGCATCCTTTCTGCTGAGTGAGTGCAATTGACTCTGGTCCTTATTTCAATATGGGTCAAGGTTTCTTTGACATGACAGTTGGAGTCACATGAGAAATGGTGTTAGCAACTTAAAGAAAATAAGGAATTCTTTATCCTAGAATCAAATATGATTGATAATGTGGTCTGCTAGCATTTCCTGGGAAGACAAATGGAAATGCCCATTCAGCCCAGATCGGCATCAGTGTAGACCATCTCACCAGATTCCAACTTAGTGAGAAATATGGGTCTATGGAGATTCTTACACACCCTGGGGAGACGTTATTACAGGAGCTTGTGTGACCCCCCCACCTCCCCGGGAAACATAACAGTAACTCTGCCACAGCACAGCCCACATCTCAGATTTAGGGCACCTGACAGACAAAGTTATGACATGGTAACAGTTTCATGGCACATTTATAGATACAGAAGAAAGAAACTCATCAAGGCAAGTTTCAAACACACTGCTTGAACAAACTGGTGTGGAGATCACAGCAAAGGGAAGTCTGTACTGTCGTCTGATGACATGCTTAACATTTGTGCTCCTGGAAATTAGATGCTCATGTCGATATTCAAAATGATTAACCTAATATTCTCCACTATGAATTCGTTAGAGTTGGATAAGATCTAAATGATTAGCAAAGATTTTATCACACCCCACGCACTCACAGAGTTTTATTCAGAATAAGTCACTTGATGTGTCTTAAGGTCTGAAGAAGTAAATTTTTTAAGACATTTGTAGGATTTCTCTCCCGTATGAACTATCATGTGTCGAGTAAGGCTATAAAGATTGACAAAAACCTTGCCACACTGCACACACTTATAGGGGTTGTCTGCAGTGTGAATTGCTTGATGTCGTCCAAGGCATGAAGAGGAGGAGAAACATTTGCCACACTCTTCACACCGGTAGGACTTCTCTCTAGTATGAACTCTCTTGTGTCTCCTAAGAGCTGAGTGATAACGAAAGGCTTTGTGACATTCTTCACACTGGTACGGTTTTTCTCCAGTGTGAATTGTTTGATGTTCCTGAAGGCTTGCAGAACAGGAAAACCTTTTGCCACACTCTACACACTTATAGGGATTATCTTCAGAATGGAATGTTTGATGTCGTCTAAGGGAAGAAGACGAGCAAAAACATCTGCCACACACTTCACACTTGTAGGGATTGTCTTCAGAGTGAATTGTTTGATGTCGTCTAAGGCATGAAGGTGAGGAAAAACCTTTGCCACACTCTTCACACTTGTAGGCTTTCTCTCCAGTGTGAACTGTCTTATGTACCCTAAGAGCAGAGTGATAACGAAAGACTTTGTGACATTCTTCACACTTGTAGGGTTCCTCTGCAGTGTGAATTGTTTGATACTCCCGAAAGCGTGCAGAACTGGAAAATCTTTTGCCACATTCTTCATTCTTGTAGGGATTTTCTCCACAATGAGTTCTTTGATGTTGCTTAAGGAATGAGGGATAGCAAAAGGATTTGCCACATTCTTCACACTTGTAGGGTTTCTCTCCAGAATGAATTCTCTGATGCTGTTTCAGCATTGAAGGATAGTAAAAGGATTTGCCACATTCTTCACACTTGTAGGTTTTTTCATCAGTATGATTTTTCTGGTGTATAAAAAGTGATGAGCGAGTATTGAAAGCCTTGTGACATTCTTTACACGTGTAGGGTTTTTGTCCAGTGTGAAGTCTCTGGTGTATGGAAAGGGTTTTATAAGAACTAAGGGCCTTACCACATTCTTCACATTTGTAGGGTTTCTCCCCTGTATGAATTCTCTGGCGTTGAATAAGGAGTGACTTACAATCAATGGCCCTGTTGTAATTGTTACAATCATTGGGTATTGTTCCTGTTGAGCAAAAGTTGAGATATGAACAAAAGCTAGGAAATATTCTTCATACTTACATGACTTATATTTAAATTAGAGATATCTACATTTACATATTGAAGCATCAACGAGAAACTATAGTATATTTTAACACTTACCAACACTGAGCATAATTCACAAAACAGAGTAGGTGGAACAGTCTATACTTCTACTGAAGTAAGAGAACAAGCAAACAGGACATAGACATATGCCATATTATTCAAAGTTAAATAGCTACATACGTTGTAAGGGTATTTTACTAACAGAAATAAGCCCATTAATCAATATAGATGTTAAATGCCTAAACATCCATGAAATTATAAAGTAGCCAGGCCTGGAAAAGAGAAAGCTAACTGTGATTGTGTGAGACTGGATCAACATCAAAACATACAATTGTTTTTTATTGTAAGTATAGAGTTTTATTTTGGAAGATACAAAAGATATATTGCATACTCGTAGACTGTCCACAACAAGATTAAATAATATAGCCTAAAGATTTATGACAATATTTTATGTTTTATTATTGACGTCTAGAAAATAAACACCTGAAAGATATCAACAGAAAACTTCAGGTTCACTGGTGGAGAACAGAAATTTGTTGAGGATTTTGTCAATGAACAGGTAATAAAATTACCTATTTCTTTGGTTTTTTTTTTTTTTTTTTTTGGTTTTTTCGAGACAAGGTTTCTCTGTGGCTTTGGAGCCTGTCCTGGAACGAGCTCTTGTAGTCCAGGCTGCAGAGATCTGCCTGCCTTTGCCTCCCGAGTGCTGGGATTAAAGGCGTGAGCCACCATCGCCTGGCTTGGTTTTGGTTTTTTTGAGACAGGGTTTCTCTGTGTACCCATGCCTATCATGGAAATTGTTATGTAGATGAGGCTAACCTTGAACTCAGAGATCCACCTGGCTCTGACTCCCACGTGCTGGGATAATGGAGCGGGACACCAGGTCTGGTAACAAAATTACCTCTTTTTAAGATCCATTCATTTATAAGACTAAATAACCACATAGCAGTGAGTGGAGAGAGACAAATCCTTGTTTCCCTGGGAAAAGAAAGTTCACAACCAGAGCACTAGATATTTTTATCTTACACTGTCCTGGTGTGTTTGATCAATGTGCTTCATCCTCCTACCAAAATCCATAGAGTACAGAAAACAAATAATTAGACGCAACACACACTTCTAAGTAACAAAACAGCGTAGCAGATTACAAAGTAAAAAAATAAAAACAAAAAAACTGCAAACCCAGAAAATTCTGAAAGCTTATTGATGAGCTACTAAACCCATTCTTCTAGTTGCAGACAGTTTTATTCTTTGAATATATATCCACATGGCATGCATTTTAAATCCTTACTGTTGACAATGTAACAGGAAAAACTTTAGAAAACTCTCATCACTCACAAAGAACTCTGATGAGACACCACTCATTAAAATGGGTGTGAGTGATCAAAAAGAAACTTCTGTGTGGACCGACTGGACTACAACGGCTCCTCCACACCTCAGACTGTAGGACAGTGTACAGGCGTTCAGGCATTGTTAACGTTACAGTGTAGACTCAACACCAACAAAAACAAAAAACCACGAAAGTCTCTGGAAATACACAGCTCGTCACTGGGGAGTTACAAAGCTTCAGAGTCTGAAAACCTCACAAACGTCTGAGAGATGTCCTTTGACAACAAAACCAAGGAGAGACCAAAAGAATTATCTCCACGCTGGGCGATGGTGGCGCACGCCTTCAATCCCAGCACTCGGGAGGCAGAGCCAGGTGGATCTCTGTGAGTTCGAGACCAGCATGGTCTACAGAGCTAGTTCCAGGACAGGCTCCAAAGCCACAGAGAAACCCTGTCTCGAAAAAGCAAAAAAAAAAAAAAAAAAAAAAAAAAAAAGAATTATCTCCACAACAACATAGGTTTCAATGCACATGCGAAAGCCTGCCTTTTTGTTGAAATATTTAGACTTCAATGCTGCCCCTGACCCCCTCTTCCCTACCCACCTGAATGCACGGGGGCTGCTGCTTGTATCTTTACATCCCAAGGCCCTTGTCTTTGCTCCAGAAATGTCACCAGGAAGGGCTTAGAACTGGCAAGACCTGTTTGCATGAAAAGGGAACAAGATTAAGTGTTCTTCTACTGAGAACTGACATGGCCCTTCCAGTACACTGTTTATAAGAAAAGAGATGATGAAAGAAATTACTGCAGACTGTCAGCTCCTTACATGTTTCCTGCCAGGACCACTACAGCACATGAAGGAATGTACAATGTCCAGATTCTGAGTCTCATTGAAAAGGAACACCATTAAATCTGAGTTGTGAAACACTTTCATTAAGAAGTGTGTTCCATGCTTCACACCACTGAATCTCTAACAATCCCACCAGAGTGACTGCTGGATGAAACACACATTCACACCACTGAATCTCTAACAATCCCACTACAGTGACTGCTGGATGAAACACACATTCACACCACTGAATCTCTAACAATCCCACCAGAGTGACTGCTGGATGAAATACAGTTCGCACCACTGAATTTCTAACAGTCCCACCAGAGTAACTGCTGGATGAAACACACATTCACACCACTGAATCTCTAACAATCTCACCACAGTGACTGCTGTATGAAATACAATTCACACCACTGAATCTCTAACAGTCCCACTACAGTGACTGCTGGATGAAATACAATTCACACCACTGAATCTCTAACAGTCCCACCAGAGTGACTGCTGGATGAAATACAGTTCATACCACTGAATTTCTAACAGTCCCACCAGAGTGATTGCTGGATGAAATACACATTCAACGCTGACAGTTCAAATATTGGAATGCAGTGGCATTTCATTTTTATTTTAATAAATAAATCTTGCCTGAAGATCAGAAAAGTAAGACAGCCACACTGGCCCACCTTACAGACGAGGCAACAATGACACACACCTTTAATCCCAGTGGCTACACTAGATTGCCATAGAAACCAGGAAGTAGTGGTGCATGCCCTTAATCCCAGAATGAGAGAAGATTATAAAACAGGGAGACAGCTCTTGGTCTCATTCTGAGGTTTCCTGGAGGCAGGATCACCATTTTCAGACTGACATCAAGGTAAGAGCCAGTGGCTGGCTGCTTTGCTTTTCTAGTCTTCAGGCAAGTTTTATTTATTAAAATACAAATGAAATGCCTCTACAGTGGAATGCTTTTAGCTATGGAGCAACCTCCCTAATTTTTCTGAAATCGAAGGATGTGAAAATCACTGTTGAAATGCTTCCATGAGATACCATACAAAGTGAATAAGTTACACATTGAGGTGAAATAAGAATAGAGGAGATGCTCACCCAGGAATTCAAGGTGGCTGTAATTCTCCAACATCACATCCCTGTACAGATTCCACTGAGCAGGCTGCAGGCATTCCCACTCTTCTGGAGAGAAATCAATGGCCACATCCCAGAAGGACAGCATTTCCTGAAATACAGACAAATAAATGATATCACACTTTAAATTAATTAAAATCATTAATTATAATATAAATATCAAGAGTCATTGGGATGGATACTTCTCCTGTCAACTTGACATGGGCCATTTGAGAAGAGAGAAACAATAGAGAAAATGCCTCCTTAAGACTGTCCTGTAGTCAAGTTTCAGGGACATTTTCTTAACTAGTGATTGATGAGACAGCACAGTCCACTAGGGGTGGTGCCCACCCTGAGCACAGTCCTTTATGGTACAGGGGAGCAGGCATGGCAAGTCAGTAAGCAGTGTTCTTCTGTGGCCTCTGCTCCAGTACTTGCCTCAGGTTCCTGCCTTGACTGTCCTCAGAGATGGACTGTGACCTGAAGTTGGAGTCTAAAATAAACCTTGTAAATAGACATTTCCTGTCCCAACCGCCCAGTCTACAGAACCAACTTAGAGGCTGAATATGAATTATAAGTGATCAGCCGACAGCTCAGGCTTATTACTAATTAGCACTCACATTTTAATTTAACCCACATTCCATATTTACCTTTTGCCACATGGCGGTACCTTTAGCAGCATGACACATCTCCTGCTCCCTCTGCGTCTACTGGCGGCTCCTCAGCCTCCACCCTTCTCCTTCCCATCATCCTTATTTTGGTCATCCTGCCTATACTTTCTGCCTGACTACTGGCCATTCAATACTTTATTATACCAATTCAAGTGATAAATCTTTACAGTGTACAAAAGGTTATCCCACAGCAAAACTCGTTCTTATCTAAGATGTCTTTCATCATGGTCTTTATGACAACAACAGAAACCCTAACACAGATATCACACGTCTGCAGATTTATCCCAGGATGAAAGAGAGCTAGAAATGTCTCTTACATAGGTAGTAATATTCCTCAGACATGTCTGAAGTGGTCACATGATCTCACACTAACCATCAAAAGGAAAGACAAGGAAAAAGATCCTATAAGCTCAGTTGGACATGATCTATTTGAGACAGATGAAATGCAAAATGAATGCACCCACAGCACATGCATGTAGTGCTATGTGCTGCTACACACCACACACGTATGTATTCCTCACAGGAGAAAGTCATGGTGAGGGAGAAGGGATTTCTCAACAGTTCATGCGCACAATCATGACAGTGAAGTGGAATGAAAATACAGCGTCTGCTGCAGCAGCTCTGGCTGTGCTGTGGGCTCAGGATTTCTGCAGAGTTCAGTAATGATGCAGATGACAGGGACATGGGACATGAGAAGAGCAGGCAAAAGGTAGAATAATAAGGAAGACCTCCTGGACTAAATACCATCTAAGTTGTTGAACTTTGTTTTCTAAACTGCAAGAGAAGGACCAACAACTGAGCATTTAAAATAGAATACACGCCACTGGATCTTCTCATCATTTTCCCTTTCTACCTTTTCTCTGACAGGTACAGATGAAGGGGGTTTGTGGTATTCATAAAGCAAGTTTTTGCACATATGACACCTGAGCATCAGTGTGCATAGCTGAGAAATACAACTGATGCTATTCTCACATTTCAAATTTTCTAAATTAAGAATTTATGTTGTTAATATCTTATTGAGTAAAGTCCCAGAATGACCTATAAAAATAGTCATCCCTTATTTTACCTTTTTACTGACGCACTAAAATAATCGGCAATACATGCATTGACGTGTTATTGTCTAGTAAATTCATAGGTAGGATTTGGATTGTTTTTCTCAGTTACGGTATGGTCACCTCCTCAAACGCAATCTTCAACGCTCCTGAAAAGTGCACTACATAACGCTCACACACACCCGTAGTCAGGGCAACAGTACCTGGGGCTTCTCCTATCTCACTGTTCCACAGCACCCACTTTCTTAGAAAGTCCCCAAGCCTTGGTTTATTGATGAACAACTAATAAGTCTCCAACTTGTGTGAGATACAGTTTTTTATAGTTAACATATCGATGAGATCATATATTATTTAGGCTTGTCTGCCTGAAAATAATTTCTAGTGTCACCAACATTGTCACAGTTGACAAGACTTTATTTTCCCTGAAAATTATTGAATTAAACTATATAAGTGCATCATTTTCCCTTCTGCCTCCTCACTGCAACTTCTCTCATGTCCCCCAACAGTCCATCTTGAATGTATGAAGTATTGTTCTCTAATTATTATTGTTACACAGAGCGCGCACACACACACACTATATATATACACACACATACACATAGCTATATCAATATGAATGGCCAATTCTGTTCAGTGTTACTTGTGCGCATGTTTTGAGGACAGATCACTTGTTACTGGGTGAATAGTGAGTGGGCTTATCGCTGTGGGAGACTAATTCTCCCTCTCTTAGTGATTCTTATGTGCCTATACTTCTCTGTTAGCCAGCAGATTGTGCCCTGCATAGGATCGAGAGCCAATGCCACTGTTCAGGGCTTGTTCAAGCAATCATATTGTTGGGGTGTCATGGGTGCAGCTTCCCTTCCCTTTCTGGAAGGCACAACCTCACAACAGAGTTCCGGAGCTCCTGACTCTCATAATCAATATGACCCTTCTCCAGAGATATTCCCTGAGCCTTCTGCACAGGAATTGTGATGTGGTGTATCTACTGGGTCAGGGCATCACAAGACAATAGTTTTCTAGATTTGAACGTTTTAGTTTTCTGTAATGCTCTCTGTGCTGCAGTGAGCAGTGTCTTTAACAGGCAGTGACAGCTACACTTCCGTGTAGGTCTAAGGAAAAGCATCTGGAATGCAGTTAGCAACTGTGATGCTTTAGTGCTCCAATATGTTCTCCTCTGTAACTTAAGAACTAAGAAGTCATCAGAGACAACTGCTGCTAATGCCGAGATGTGGGAGACACAGGGGCACCTTTAGGGATTCAATGTCATACTGCTCATGGATGTGGTTCACGGGCATAACAGCTAAGCAGGACTAAAGCTCACCCTTAGGCAGGAGACCTTGGGGTCAGGCCCAGCTCCAATCCTCTGTGTCTTGTGTCTCATTCCTACCAGAGCACATTCCTGCCTTTGCAAAGAAAGGGGAGGAAATCACGGATGCCACCCATTCTAACTGTATGATAACCAAGAGCAAGGGATCGCCACGGGGAGTTGAAAGAGCCAAGAGCTGAGTGCAGATGCAAACATGTTTCTGTGAGAGAAATAGAGCAGGTCCTCAAGGAAGAACTAACTGCAAGGACCACTCCCTAAGTCGCCCAGGCCTGGCTCCCCCTATTCCACATGAGAGGCATATCGGCTGTCATGAAGCCAATCTATGAGATGCTGTAGGTGGAGGGCAGTGTGTCTGGAAACACGATAGCATTTAAGAAAAATCTTAGCCAATACAATTAATGGCAACTGTTTCAAGGGAATTTCAGCCTGGTGAAATGAACTTTCTATGGGGAAGAAATGCAAATGTCTCACCTGTGTTGGCCAAACTGTCATTCATTAACATTGCTACATATTCGCACTATTATTGGGAGGTCAATATACTCCACATGAGTGGAGGCTCCTCTTAGATTCAAGCCTAGAACAACAGAATGGACAGGGTAGATATGTTAAGAACTCTTTCATCTCCTGCCGGTGTCCCTCAGAGATATCTTTTCAGAGAGTCAGACAAGACTGAAGACTAGCAGATTGGTGGGAAGTCAAAGCCAGATGCACTGAGAAGACTGGATTTATGGTCAGGATCCTAACAGTAGTGAACCACCAATCAAAACAACCTAACTACTGATTACATGCCACAAGGCTTAAAATACACACTACATACATCATGAAGGAACAGTTCCTGGGTCTTTGTCTCAGCTCTATACCGTAAGTGAGGAATGAAAGAGCCATTTAGTTTTGCTTTAAGCCCCCCGCATGACTCAGAAAGTGAAATAAACCATGAAAAAATATGGAAGGCCAAATGCAGTATCTGCTTTGGAAACACTAATTGCAATAATTATAATTTTAATTTCAAAAGATTATCACTTTGCATCTTACATTAGATGTCTAGATATATTTGTGGATTTTAATAGTTCATACATTGTTTCTGAGTCTTCTTAAAGCAACACTGTGTGGAGTATGTCCAATACAGATTTGGGCCATGCACTCTCATAGACCTGACTTAATTTCATATAGAGACTGCAGAATGGAGAGAACAACAGAAAGCAGATATTGAAGAAGGTAGCCATGCAACCACATGCACCTTTCAACTCAAAATATGTCGCTGCATTTGATAACGACTATGGAGGACACCATGGCAGACTCTCCTATAACCCGAACTGACAACGTGATGAAAATCTGTGCTGCTCAGGTTTATTCCTTGCATGTGTTTAACCCTGCTCAGGTCATTTGCAAGTTCTCTTCATGGCCTCTGACATAATCACATAGATCAATTGGCAGGAACTGAATGTCATCACCCAGCACCTCCACTCCAGGGTTTCCCAGAGATGACATGTCTAACACAGCACGGTTACACATGAGCTGTAAACACAGGTAACTCCTTCCCTCACACTGACACAGAGCACAGTGAAAGAAGCCTGGCAGGAAAGACACAGGACTGTCAGCAAGGGGAACTGGACTGGACCTGTGGAAGAGCAGGACCCGCCTTTAGCAGTTTGCTTTACTGGATGGATATGCAGTGCCCCATGTGAAGGACAGTGCAGGAAGTGGTTTTGTTCTGGCTAACTGTAAGAAGCATCTGCTCACAGTGCAACCTCTGCTGTAAGGACAGGGGAAGACATCCCAGCTGCAGCTGCAGAAAAAGACCCAGGAATGAAATCATAGCAGCCGAGTCTCAGAATGAACTGAAAGAAGCAAACTGTAAGAAACCAGAGAAAACCAGAAGAAAGCTGCATCAGGTCATGACAGCAACTAACACAGATTAATATGCAAAAAGAATGAACATTCACTGCACATAGGAATCTTCAAGCAAAGCAAAGAGAATTCTTCTTCATAGAGTAAACACAAATGATTGTCTGAACACCAAAATTTAATGTCTTTAACAAAAGTATGTTAGTAAAAATATTTAAATTACACCCAGAATAGGTTAACAGAAGTTAAGGAGAAATAGCTCTTAAGTCGGCAAAGTGGGGGATTATATGGATTTGCCCTGGTGTTCACTGTAAGAAACAAGAAATGAGCCATACAAAGTATCATATCTATGAAATATGTTCAGATGTTTTCTGTCACAGACTCAAGTAGCCTACACAGGCCTTGAATTTGCTGTGAAGCAGGGGAGGACCAGAGGGCCCTGCCTCCCCCTCACAAACGCAGAGATGACAGGGATGTGCCTCAGAGGAGACTGACGTTTCTTTTCTATCACAGGTCTGGTTACTAAAATCCCAGGAATACACACAGGTCTGGGAGTTCTCCTCACCTGCTAACCTGACACAAAAGCCTGGCACTGTAACACAAGACCATGAGAGCTTTTCACCTGTTCCTAGGGACCCTGCTTCTGGACCAGCTCAACAAGCTCAAGGCCACATCAAGACGTTGACAGAACCATTGTGGGCCAAGCAGACATCCTGTCGTTTTCACAGTTAGTCCGCCTTACATGAGGGATGGGGGAGCTTTCAAGGCTTTAAGGGAACCCAGACCTCAATGTGCAGCCTGGAGTCAGCGTCTCCAGTTCCTTCTTCCTGCAGAGGGCCCTCTGTGTGTGGGCTGTACGTGTGTTCTCTCCACTCTAGTCACAGCTTTCTATAGCAGCTGGTCCTGGCAGATGTGTCTGCTGTGTTCCAGAATTTCCCAACTGAGACTTTTGTTTTGCCTCAGATTTTTCCTCTTTTAATTCTTTAACTGGCTGACAAAAAGAACACAATCAGTACCCTAGGCCAGTTAAAGAGGGCAGGAAGGACCAGAAATCCCTTTGCTCTGCAGATACTGAGAAATCTGACAGCATCCCTGTGAGAATGGGTCAGAAGTGAAGCAGGCTTCCCCACCAAAGCTGCACAGTGAAGTGAGCTCCCAGCTCCCCCTCAGGAACAGGCAGTCAGCTGACCATCCTTAGCTTGATCCGGGACCCAGTACTGTCATCTACTCCGTGCAGCTCTTCTGTCCCAGAAGCCCAAGGCGGACTGGGGCTGCATGCAGCAACCCAAGGAAACCATTGCTCAGGGAACAGTCCCTATCGCCCTCATCCCAGCCCTGACCTGCAACCTCAGGTGACCCAGCCAGTTGAGCACAGCACCTCCAAGGCAGCTTCTCCCGCCCTCTTACCCAGCCCAGGTCAGCTCCCTCCAAGACGGACCCACACTCCGCAGTGAGCCTAAGGCAGCGCTGCACCCTGGACCAACCTTCATGACAGAGACGCACCTGGAAACCACAATAGGACCGGACTGTCGCCCAACTTTGGGGAAGACGCACTTGTAAGAGACCAAAAGCCGGAAAGGGGTTTCCTGGACTGCTCCCAGTGGTGTTACAGCGCTGCAAACTACATTTCCCAGAAGTCTGTGCGAAAGAATCCCCGGAACCCAGGCTGGGAGAGTTTTAAGGTCTTGGACGTGTGTCTGGCTGCCTGCCGTAGAGGGTGGAAGGAAGAAGCACAGTGAGCAGGACCGCTATGTGCAATGACGCTGGTGTTCATCTCCAGATCCTCAACACGAGATTGTGAATGTGAGTCGAGTCTTTGACAGTAATATTCGCCTTGTGAGTTTTCTGGTCCATATATTATGATTTTAATATTACTAGAGCGTTTAAATATCACGTTGACTCAGTTTTACTTTAAAATAACGAAGCAATACACTATTGTGAGACTGAGAAGTATCTTTTAAAGATGATTTTGAAGCCAGCCGTGGTATGTCTGACCGTGCTCCTTGCTGCTCAGCGGTTACGGGACAAATGGACCTGGGAAGAAGGCTGGACTGAAAAATTCAAAGAGACCTTGTATCTAAGTAAAAAGGAAATGGCAACGCAAAACAGAATGAAACAAACACGGGTTGAAGCAGTTGAGTATAATGTCGACTTTGACTTAATATGCAGCCCCACAAATAAACAAATAAATAATCCTCATTCCTCTGTGCTGACACTCTGTGTGAGCCTTCCATGGATCTGACTCCACAGTTGTAAAACAGTGTTGTGTGAACATTGCTATCTCTGCAGCGTAGAGGACTGGTGAGGGAAAGAGCCGGAATAACCACTGAACAAAGTTAAACGTCTGACTCGCTGACAATTACTTGCAAAGATCTCCCATAATCCATCTCAGGAATTTGCCACCTGTCCTTCTGTCCCTTGAAAATTTCAACTAATAATCTATGTAAGCAATTTCGTTTTTGTGAGAGCGCTACTAGAATTTTACCATAGTCTCCACTGTTGTTCACAAAGTCAGATCAATATTCACCACCCGATGCACTAGGAGCTCGTGCTCACCTTCCAAGTGAAGGGACCCTGGTCCTGGATCACGGACTCGGGACTGAGACGCGGACAGCCCCAGTCTAGAATTTTCTATATTTCTGCCATGGGTATATGCTTCAGTTCCAATTCCACTTAGCTGTCACAGGCATGTTCCATGAAGTGTGACCCCACGGGGACTGTTAGGAGGGACACTGAACATCTGACCAGTGATATGGCGGAGCGGTTCTCTTTACGGTTCTTTAACAGTGCGGCACATGGCACTGCACATCCGACCTTGGTGTGGCAGTGCTGTCAGGTTCCACTTCCATCTTGGGACAGTGTCCGGCCCCATAGCACATTTTCCTTCTTTTGGGGGCTTTCCTAGAAGTATAGTTTTGAGCACCAAGCCGCTACAATGGGCCTCTGCCTTTCCAATGAAATTCCACTTCCGCAAGACAGAGACGTCCATGGATGTGCTCTTGGCTCAGAGCAAATTAATGTACGCTCTGTACAAAGTGCCAGGATTCCCGATATTCGAGTGAATCTCTCATACAGTTCCTGGAGATTTTACATTGTCTATTACTTTAAAGTCAGTGTGGTTTAGAATGATATTGGCATCTAACAGAGAGAGCCAAGATTCCACTAACATCTCTATCTTCATGAGTCAGTGAGTTTACTACTGAGATGGCAGGCAGAAGTGTGGATGAGGGATTAGAATAGGAGCACACACGATTCAAAGGAGAAACGTCAGCAGTACTGAACATCTGAGTGGACTCTGGGTAAGAACTCGGGAAAGTTGAATGCCTTCAGCTCAGTGTATGGCTTCCAGGGAGCCCCTCTGATGAGGAAGCCTGGTGCTTTCCTGCCTGCTTTACATACTAAACTCAGGGTATCTGGCTCACACCCAAACATTGCCCTGGCTATGATCAGTGTGACTTTTTCAAGCCTGAAAGAAAAAAAAAAATGTGATTTCTTATGTGTTTATAGACTGGCACTTCCTCTGCTGTTGTTTAAGAAATATATGCAGCTCTTATATAAGCTAGAGTTTTTTCATCCTGTGTGAGAGTATTTTTCAGGTTGCAGTAATAAAGAAAATTACCTTCAGAGCATATGAGACTGGATTTCTTCTTAAAGACATTTTTAGAGACACAAGAAAGTTTTCCTAAGCCCTCGCTACTCTGAGGAATATTTACTACCCTCGAGCAAATCTGGGAGCTGGTCTCTCAGTCTGCGGTGAATATTACATGTTTTACTCAAATCTCCACATCCCTTAACCTATTACTTCTTACCCTTAAAACGGCGCACGCCCTTAATCCCAGCACTCAGGAGGCAGAGGCAAGCGGATCTCTGAGTTTGAGACCAGCCTGGTCTACAAGAGCTAGTTCCAGGACAAGCTCCAAGGCTACAGAGAAACCCTGTCTCAAAAAAACCAAAAACCAAAATAAAAACAAAAAAGCTACGTGACTCTGCCAACTTTGTGAGCTTCTTTCTTAGTTCCTTCATTCCACTTAGTGCCCCCTCCATGTGTGGGGGTGAAGGGCAGCCAACTGGACCCTGGAAGACTCTCAGATTGACTCTTTCCCTCAGGAGCCATTGCTTCTCCACTCAGGGTGAGACATAACGAGACCCTTATGCAGCCATGCTTGTTGCAAGGCTGGGTTTAGCTTGTGTAAGGGTTGTCCAGGTAGTATTAGCCACAGCATGTCCGTGCGTGAGCTGGTACTGACGTTTCTAGCAGATACTCACTACATCTGACTTGGACGTTCTTTCCACTTCTCCCTCATGCGTCCTTGACTTTTGGAGTTAGAAGTGTGTAAGGGACTCCCTTACAATGTGTGATGTAGGTGTCACCTTTGGATTAGGGCCTCCACAGGCTATTATTCTCTGCACTCTGACTAACTGTGAGTCTGTGAGTTATTCTCTACCTATTTCCAGGGGGGCGTGGAGAGGTGCTGCTTCATAATTGTAACTTTGCTACTGTTATAAATTGTAATGTAAATATTTTTGAAGATAGAGGTTAGCCAAAGGGGTCCCAACCCACAGGCTGAGAATCACTGATTGAGGTCCTCTTCCAGTGCTGAAGAATCCTTTTTATGAACAACGGAGATGCAATTTACTTGAATGAAGTTTCCAGAGTGGAGGAGGTACGGTGTCAGACTAACCTAGCCTCTCCTACGCCATTTTATTCCCTATTTGTTTTATTTACTTTAAAATCTCCGATTTCAATGGAGGTGTAGTTTCTTGCCCTTGAAACCATTTCTACTCAGGCTATCTTTCAATTGTCAAAATTTAACAACCAGTTAATTATACAGGGCCTGACCATTAGGCCAGGGCTAGTAAACTTTTTTTTTTTTTAATAATTTTTTTTATTAAGAAAAGAAGAAAAAAACATAAACAAAAAACAAGTTTCCACCTCCTCCCAGCCTCCCATTTCCCTCCCCCTCCTCCCACCCTTCTCCCCCTCCTCCCACCCTTGTACCCCTCCCCCCACTCCTCTCCCCCTCCCTCTCCAGTCCACAGAGCAGTCCAGGTTCCCTGCCCTGTGGTAAGTCCTAGGTCCTCCCCCCTCCGTCCATATCTAGGAAGGTGAACATCCAAACTGGCTAGGCTTCCACAAAGCCAGCACATTAAGTAGGATCAAAACCCCGTGCCATTGTCCTTGGCGTCTCATCAGCCCTCATTGTTCGCCATGTTCAGAGAGTCCGGTTTTATCCCATGCTTTTTCGGTCACAGTCCAGCTGGCCTTGGTGAGCTCCCAGTAGATCAGCTCCACTGTCTCAGTGGGTGGGTGCACGCCTCGTGGTCCCGACTTCTTTGCTCATGTTCTCCCTCCTTCTGCTCCTCATTGGGACCTTGGGAGCTCAGTCCAGTGCTCCAGTGTGGGTCTCTGTCTCTGTCTCCATCCATCACCAGATGAAGGTTCTATGATGATATGCAAGATATTCGTCAGTATTGCTCTCGGATAGGGTCATTTCAGGTTCCCAATCCTCAGCTACCCAAGGAACTAACTGGGAACCTCATGTTGGGCACTTGGGAGCCCCTCTAGGGTCAAATCTCTTGCTCACCCTAAAGTGGTTCCCTTAACTAAGAATTGTGGTTCCGTGCTCCCCTATCCACCTTTCCTTTATCCCAATTCTCCTGATTCCCCAAATCCCCCCTCCTTCCCTTCTACCTTTTCTCTCCCCATCTCCCCTTACCCCCATCCCACCCCACCCCCAAGATCCTAATTTTCTCCCCGGCAATTGGGTCTACTTCCCTTAGCCAAGAGGATAACTATATGTTTTTCCTTGGGTTCACCTTCTTACTTAGCTTCTTTAGGTTCACCTATTGTAGACTCCGTGGCCCTAATTTATGGCTAGAAACCAATTATGAACGAGTACATCCCATGTTCATCTTTTTGGGTCTCGGACACCTCACTCAGGATAGTGTTTTCTATTTCCATCCATTTGCCTGCAAAATTCGAGAAGTCATTGTTTTTTACCGCAGCGTAGTACTCTAGCGTGTATATATTCCATACTTTCTTCATCCATTCTTCCATTGAAGGGCATCTAGGTTGTTTCCAGGTTCTGGATATTACAAATAATACTGCTATGAACATAGTTGAACAAATGCTTTTGTCATATGATAGAGCATCTCTTGGGTATATTCCCAGGAGTGGTATTGCTGGGTCCAGGGGTAAGTTGATCCCGAATTTCCTGAGAAACCGAAACACTGACTTCCACAGTGGTTGCACAAGATGGCATTCCCACCAGCAATGGATGAGGGTACCCGTTCCTCCACAGCCTCTCCAGCAAAGGTTATCCTTGGTGTTTTTGACTTTAGCCATTCTGACAGGTGTAAGATGATATCTCAAAGTTGTTTTGATTTGCATTTCCCTGATTGCTAAGGAAGTTGAGCACGACTTTAAGTGTCTTTTGGCCATTTGAACTTCCTCTGCTGAGAATTCTCTGTTCAGTTCAGTGCCCCATTTTTTAATTGGGTTAATTAGCATTTTAAAGTCTAGTTTCTTGAGTTCTTTATATATTTTGGAGATCAGATTTTTGTCTGTTGTGGGGTTGGTGAAGATCTTCTCCCA